TGTCGCACGCGTCTCACGCCTTGGCAGGGCCGTACACGCCTAGGTGCTTCGCCCTACTCACTCGTTGCGTGGGATACGCAAAAATTTGAATGAGAAATAAGTTTTTGTATAAAATTATAACATGATATATTTTTGGAAAGATCGTAAATGTTCTCACCTCAATGGATTTCGATCGGTTCGATGAAAAAGTTCCTCGCTGGCACAGGATTGCGTTGGTAAGACAGAAATATCTCTCGAACGATAAGCGATGGTATGATGATGACGTAGATCATCGGATTGGTTTCCGCATCGATAATCGTTTCCGGAATTAAGCCGATGACAATTGACGGATGAAGAGGAATATCTGTTAGCCGGTTCGATGTAAATCTCATCGGAAGCTGTGAAGATGGTCCCATCGAAAAGACCCTCGGAAGTGACCATACCATGAACCAAAGAATTTTCGTCATCTGTAAAAAAACACATAGAAATATAAACAAAATATCTCGTAAACGAATCATTTTTCTAATCATTTACGTAAATATTTGTTGTCGATATTAGTGTAGTCTATCCGTAACTGTACATAAATAAATGTTTCAAACGATTTCTTCAATTTTACGCGCTATTTGGTCCTCTTCTGTTTTCTAACTTTTGCATCTCTCGTCGTCTTTATTTTAGCTTTTTCTACGAAACCGTTTGGCATATCATATCCCGCGATTTGCAGAATGTGCGAATATCGAAGAGAGATTCACGGTTATATTCCCTTCGAGTCGTATTGCTTCCTGAAATCGCTTACTTGTTTTATATGCCAGCGTATGCGTTGAAAGGTGAGAAGGAATAACGTTCTTCTGAATTGTACGATCAAAATGATAGAAATGGGGGAGAAAGAAAATATTATCTTGCTAATGTTTTTTAAAGCCGTACCAAATATTCTTCGGATCGATTAAATTCTTTACAACGCGAGATCAAATCATTTTTTTTTATTTATTTATTTTAATGTTCGTCCTATAACGAACTTTCAAAGATTATTTAATAAGCGAACATAATTTCTATTTTCTTACAGATTAATAACGAATCGTTTCTCTTTATCATATTATTGATTTTCGAAGTCATTAATAGTATCGAATTCATTATTTTAACATGGATACTTAATACAATATACATTTTATAACAGTATGAAGTAATTAGTTTATTTTAAGAACATTGTTTAGCAAAATAATTCTTTTCCCCGAGCTTTATGAAGTCACTCGTATATTATTTCACACGTACGTAAATATATATATACGCTTGATAAAAAAACAAAATCTTTTTTCACGCGTTGCATTAAAAGAGGATGCACGCCTCGTCGAATAAAATTGCATTAACTGTCGGCGCGGAAAATATAATATCGTGAATAATGCCGAGAGATATTGAGATAAAAATAGAAAGACAAAGAGATAGATAGAATAAAATGTAAGATATCTTTCCTAGGACGTATTGAGAAGGAAGAAGAGCGAGATAGGAAAAAGAAGAAAGAAGAAGGAAGAGGTAGCTAGACTTTTCCTTTACTCGTAGTCGTTTCTTTACTCGTCTGACGTTTTTCTTCCCACGAACACGTACTACCTTCCTCATTCTGGACAAAGGGAATACGAAAGTAAGTTCGTGCCAGTGCACCGAACTGCTTGTTAATTCACCACCGATAACGTTGCACGTGGACTCCTATATGCGATAACGCGTCTCCAAGTAAGGAAACAAACACGTTTATATTTTTCAACAACAACAAAACCTTATTTTGCACCTTATCATGTAATACTTTTACGAAGCTTTAACTGAACCTATTATTTTTCAAATTAAGGCTAATTATATACATTATTTTATAGGACATAAAATCAATGATTATTATTGCATACAAGAGTAATCGTATAAATAATATAATTTATACTTTTTCTACTTACGATATCATCTTTAGTATTAAAGAATTATAGAGATAATATTATCGTTATTTCAGTTAAAAGGGTTAAACCAAAATCGTCCCTTCGTGTTTTGAAAAGAAAGGAAAAATAAAAAGAATTAAAGCGTCCATTAGGTAAAGAATAAGACAAAGAACAATATCTTTTTATAGGTTTGGAAAGGGATTGCTCCGTAGAGACAGAAGTTCCTCGTTGTAAATCACTCGGTCGATCGACCCCACCAAGGTTTATCCATTTTCTGAGGCCGCAGACGTAGAAAGGATATGGGAGAGCCACTCCTGACATCGTTCCAATCCTGATCTTCCTCTTTCCTTTTCTACCAACCCTCCCTCCCCCACCATCCTTTATCCCTCCATCTCTTACGCGGTCCTACGTCGAAGGCTTCATCCCTTACGAAATTTATGTGTGGAACGACGTAGAAATTTTGAGAAAATTCCCGGGGCGTAGGTCCTACGCCCTCGGGACACGTACCCTTTTTCCATTCCCCGTTCCTTACCCTCGCGAACCTCTTTAGTTACCTTCGCCGACGACCTTCACGATTGATATACAACCGAATTTAACTGGAATGCGAATGAGAATATCCGATAGCTTTTTTTCTACCGTTAAATCGCAACATTTTTTGTTGCAATTATTATTAAGATTATTTTTCTCCTATATAAATAGTAGTCGATTTTATTTGATCAGATCATATTAATTAAATGCAAAATGAAATAAATGTCATTCTATATAATATATATATTATATATAACAAATATTATTTTTATCGCAAGAAAACACACACGATATTATTCGGAATTTGTTATTACGAAAGTCATATTTCTTTGAAATCGTATATGCATACATATATATCGCATTTTCTTTGTATATATGTACATCTTACGAAAAGTGGATATCTGGTTTGTAAAGTGACGGAGAGTGTGGCATATAAGAGAATAACACATCCCTGCAGGCCAGCATTTCACAATTTTCTATATTTTCTCCTTCTTTCTCACCTTTCCATTATTTCTCTTCACACCGACGTCTCTTTTTATTTTCTAGATCGTTCTTTCTATTCTTCTCTCTCTCTCTCTCTGTCTGTCTTTGTTTCTCTCATATGTTACTTTCTTCATTTCATGCGGTTCTTACTATTCGCAAGCGTAAGCTTCTTTGTTTATTTGCGTAAAAGCCACTCTCCAAAGTATGTACACGGATCGAGATTTTTCTTTTCCTTTTTTTTCCCCCTTTCTTTTTTTTTTTTTTTTTATTCTTTAATGTTTCTTTTCTTTCTACCTCGTACACTCGAAAGGATCCGTCTTCTTGCTCGATCTCCATTACTTTTCCATAGTATTCTAAAGTAAAATTAATATCCGAAGAAATCTTATGGGAACGAAACGTTTTCCTTGATTCACATTTTATTTCTTAAAACTGTTTCGAGTCATTTATATTTTATTCGTTGAAATAAAACGAGACAAAATGAAATATTAAATACAGGCCAATTCATAAGTCAATTGACATTAACAATTATTCAACTCTCTCTTTTCATTGATTTATTAATAAATTCTTGTACAATATTGGATTAATACAAAAATAATTACATCCACATGATTAAACGTTTGAAAAATTAAACCTGATTACTTTAATAATACATTTCATTCGACTGGTTTACAAGCCAACCCTTAGAATATTTGATTCGAAGAGTAAACTGCTTTCGTATTAAAAAATAAAATACTTGTGTAAGAAAAATATAAGAAGGAGAAAGAAACCTTGTATCCGTTATCATGGTTCATGGGTCGTGAAGTCAAAAAATGAGCTCTCCGCGTCCTGTTGAAACTTTCTAGAAAGAGAGAGAGAGAGAGAGAGAGAGAGAGAGAGAGAGAGAGAGAAAAAAATTGGGTTTGTGTGTTGGTTCTCGTGAAAAATACTCTCGTAGAAATCTCTTGGTTCGTTCGTGCTTCATTCGTGCTTCGTTCAATACATACATCTTTTTCATGGATCGTTTGGTGAAAATCGGCTTCGTTCATCCGTCGAAAGCACGCGTTCGGAGACGAGAGAGAGAAAGAGAGAGAAAGAGAGAGAGAGAGAGAGAGAGAGAGAGAGAGAAGAGAAGAGAAAGCTTGCAGCTTTACTTGGAACGAAGTAGAGCAATTTTGTATTCCTGGAGATGAAAGATTGATAGACGACGATGGTGTTGGTGCTTGTAGAATAAGATTGAAGTCAAGGTGTAATGATAACATTCGCTGGAGAATATTTATTAGCGGCCAAGAGAAAAATAGAAAAAAAAGGGAGAGAACTTTTGCTTTCCCTTAGAATTTCTTACAAGTTGTTACTTATTCTACAAAAAACGAAGGAAGGAAGGAAGGAAGGAAGGAAGGAAGGAAGGAAGGAAGGAAGGAAGGAAGGAAGGAAGTAAGTAAGTAAGTAAGTAAGTAAGTAAGTAAGTAAGCTTTTAATACGAAGTTTTTCTTACGAACAGGACCAAACGGAAACCACATTTTAATAGCGTTTTAGAAAACTTTAGATTTTCGTCATTTTCTCATCGACAATAGTTACTATTACCGCAAGGACAGCAACGAGTTTAAAGATTATCGTGAAAATGCATTAATCGATTGTCACATTTCTCTTTTCGACGGAAAGGATGAATATGTTTGACAAAAATTGCAATTTGTCGATACGCCATACGCATACGTTTGCCCCTTGTTTCACCGTTGTTGGCGAATTGAATTTTTTGTATTCTCTCTCTTTCTCTCTCTCTCTCTCTCTCTCTCTCTCTGTCTCTTTTGCGCGCTTTTTCAATTCATTCATTTTTCTCCGGAAGTTGTTGCAAATTTTTTTTGACAACGTCCTCTCTTACTATACGCGTACAACGAACGAGGTACCATTAACGTAAATCAATAACGGAATTGAGGTTAATATATTCAACGATGGACAGTCCAACCTAGCTCTCTATCTTTTTCTCTTGCAAGTACACACACATATACATAGGAATACACGTGCACACATTTGTCAGAGGATCAAGAGATGAAAAAGACAAAAATACGTAGTTTGTGCGCAAATGCACGTCACGTGACATGCGCAAAGGGATAAACGACGGGATGGTTTAATTCGTGGAATGATCGGAAACGAAAATCAGTATCATTAATTCGTAAGCCACGCACAGGATACACATTCAGAGGGAGGGGGGAGAGCGAGAGGGAGAGGGAAAGAGAAGATACAAATACGTGCAGGCCTGTTTGTCCCATCTCTATTTAATTCGGCTCGATAAATTACCACAGAGTGCTGCTAATTACCCACTAATAATACGCACAAATTACTGATTTACGTTCTTACGATAAAATTTGATCGTTAAAATAGAGTAGATCGTTCGATCGATAGGAATTCGATAAATTTTTCAATTTTATCTTTGATTTTGAAGGAATTTCATTCTAGCCATATAATTATTCTATAATTATTATTATTAATATAATCATCATCATCATCATCATCATCATCATCATCATCATCATCATCATCATCATCATCGTCATCTTTGAAATTTTTCTATC